TCAAGTTGTTCAAAATCTTTCCGGAATCATTATCCCTGATACAAGTTTTGAATTTGAACCTCCTCAATCACTACCTTACAATGGAAATTTAAATATGTAAGTTGCCTTTCCTTTAATGCTTTTACTGTATATATATTTAAATATTTAGAACAATTAATAAATATAGAATTTTCATTATTAAGGCAAGAAGAACCCCAAATTAAACCTGATCCTCCTTTTGCAGATTTCACGACTGAAGTTAATGGTTTTATTAACGGTCTGTTTAAATTTTTCATTAATATACGCAAAAACCAGCCCCAACAGTTTCAACCGACTATGATCAAAAAATATATTAGAGAACATAAAAAGAATTCAGTTGAAATTCTATATGAAATGATTCGACATCCATCTTATTATTTGTTTACTAGCTTAATAGGATTTTTTTACCAGTATGGCATTGGGACTGTTGCTGATTATCAAATAGCTTTTAAATTCTATAATTTATCTTTCAATGAAATAGTTGATTCCTCACCTAATTCTTCATCCTTGAGGGAACTATACAATATCAACAAAGAAATTTGTATCATTTCTCTTGCGAATATGTATTCAGATGGTCAAGGAGTTGAAAAGGATACAAAAAAAGCCTTTCAGATTTACAGTAAACTCGCCGATAAAGGGTCTCTTATAGCTTTGGTTATCGTAGCATATTGTTATGATAAGGCGCTTGGTGTTGAAAAAAATAAAGAAAAAGCATTTGAATTATATTTGAAGTCAGCAGAAAAAGGAAATATTGTCTCACAATGTAATGTTGGTTTGTGTTATGGAGACGGAACTGGAATAACAAAAGATGAAGCTAAAGGGTTTCAATGGTTTATGAAAGCTGCTCGTGCTGGAGATATTAGTGCAATGTGTGAAGTCGGGTATTGTTATGAAAATGGCATATGCGTGGGTAAAGATAAGAAAGAGGCAGTTAAATGGTATCTGAAGAGTGCTGAAAAAGGACATAATATGTCACAATTTAATATAGGAATTTGTTATAATTATGGTTACGGAATTAATATTGATCAAGCGAAAGCATTTGAGTGGTATAAAAAGGCTGCAGAAAATGATTATACTGATGGTCAATACATGCTTGGAAAATGTTTTTATGAAGGTTATGGAACTAAAAAAGATATTGTGAAAGCTATATACTGGTTGAATAAAGCAAAGGAAAATAGGGATACAGGTGCAAATGAATTATTAGAAGAAATAATCAGTAATATAACGTAACAGTTAAAAAAATAAAATATAAACTAAATATTTTTTATTGTAAAGATGATAGTGACTATTTTTAATTAATAAAATTACTTTTTTTGACTAAACTTTATTTCGAATGCATTGAATCATTTTTTATTTTTATTTACATTACAATAAAAATTTATCATAAATTTGGATTTTATGTTTAGAAAACCAATAGATATTACGACAAACATTTAAAATAAATAAAATTACATATTTCAAATTAGATAAAGATATATCTTTGAGTAAAATAATTTGAATCATTAATATTTAAATAATGGCAACGCAATTTAACAAATATTTATAAATTAAAATTATTATTTAAACGTTCAGTAGAAAAATGACATTTCCTAGACTTTAAGCATAGTGAGCTGTAAAAAGATACTTTTACTCCACTTACCCATATAGTTTCAGATCACACCTGTGTGTACTGTGTTAGAGTTTATTTTATTTATCTGTTCATTGCAAGTAGGCAAGTGACTGCTTGATCTTACTGGCAGATAGTGGGCATTACAAAATATTGCGTACAAGAGTACATTGAGTTAGTACCAAAAGGGGTGTGACAAGAGGTTGATTTAGTGGGACTGATTGACGTAACTTTACTCTTTGTTCTGGGCAGACTGCCACAATAGAAAGTATCTACTGTAAATATCGCCAATGGTGATTGCCACCCATCACTGGATGGAATTAAATTTACGTGGGTGGGCAAAGTTAAAGTTGCTTGATCAAGGAATTATGAAATTTTGCCCAATGGTGCAATCACCATAGTGATATTTAGCAATACCCTTAACTATTATTATTTTTTTTTTATTTCTTAAATTTCTATTTTTCTTCGATAAGATATAGAAGAAATGGCAAAAAAAATTTCCACAAAAATATTGATTTATAATTTTAAGTAATATCCAATCATCCTAAGATTATGTCAATCTTTATTAGTCAATAGATGCTGGTGTAAAGTCACTATACCTATACTTTGGGAATTAACTTTGGGTCAAGGATATAGTACGAAAAATGAGAAGTTGAGAAAGAAAGCCTTTTGTATTTGAACCTATATATCGTGTATGAATAAAGGGCTAGAACTTTATTAATTCAAAATGGATTTATTTGTCATCATTACCAACAAAAGTCCCTTTCGATTATCCATCATTCGCTCATAAATTATTTTATTTATTTCCAAAATTCACTACAAATTATCGATAACAAAAAAGTAATAATAAGATCAAAAAATTCACGATTAACACGTTCTCTGTAACCACCAAATCGAGAATATTATTTCGTGAGATATATAAATTGATAACAAATCGTTGTACTTTTTGGATTGTTTTGAATTGACGGGATTTTCCATTAGTGGTTCGATTGGTTCTATTCTCAAATTACCTGGTGCCGCAAGAGAATAGATTCGTCCATATTACGAATCATTAATATTAATTCGCGATGATATTTTAAAAATGGATTTATAGTTTAGTTTTTGTTTATTTTCTCTAGTGGGATTATTCACAAAACTTAGTGCTCAAAAACGGATGGGACAGGTGAATCACTTGTTGTGGTTACTGTTCAAAAAAGAAGCATTAAAGAGTCTTTGTTTAAAATATGTAAATTTATCTAAATCATCACCAATTGGACAATTCGCTTCAATAACTTTATATTTGAAAATCGTATGGGTGATCTAATTCAGATTTTTTATTCCAGGCTTCAACATTTACTCGATTAAGTAGTTTACATTATTATTTTTATATTCGAGAATTTATTAGAAAAATTCTCAAAACGGCCAATGCAAATTTAAGAAATATATATCCCACAAATCACATTTGAAACATTTTCAGCAATTTTAAGTGATTGTACGAAGATAAGTCAAAAACAAGACAAGTAATATCAATATTAATAATAATAATTTTAGTAAATTACGGAGATTTTCATAGGTAAATATATAAAATATTTAAATTTCCATGCTTAATCGTGTAAATAATTAATTAAATATATTTGTTAATTTTATTTTAATAGAGAATACCAACAATTATTTGATTGTCTTCGAATATGTGAATAATGGTTCTCTTCGTCAATATTTAAAATCCAATTTTCAAAAATTGGATTGGAGTGCAAAATTTAATCTTGCGAAACAAATTGCAAATATTTTGATGTATTTACATTCCAATGATATCATTTATGGAAGATTGGTAATTATTTTCTCAAAAGAAATTTTACGAATGAATTATTTAATTTTAATTATTTTTTTTATTATTATTTATTAGAACTTTGAAAATATTCTTATTCATAATGGGAACATTAAATTAAATGTTTTTGGAATAACAAAAATTATTTCCGATTCTTTAAGTTTCCTTACAAATGCTCTTGGTGCAATACAATACTTGGATTCTCAATATTTGGAACTCTTCAACATGATTGGCAAAATAAGAGTTCTGATATTTTTGGTCTAGGAATTATTCTTTGGGAAATTTCTAGTGGTAATCCTCCTTTTGAAATGAAATCCTCATCAAATGTTGATTTGTTAAATAGTATTGCAAAAGGAAAAAGGGAAATAGTTATACCCGGAACTCCTCATAAATACAAGGAAATATATACTGGTATGAATTTAAATAATCTGTTAAGATCATTTATATTCATTTGCATGATAAATTATTAATGTTACGTTTTTGACAGATTGTTGGAAGCATAATGGAAACTCACGTCCAGATATTTTTCAAGTTGTTAAAAATCTTCCGGAATCATTATCCCTGATACATGTGTTGTATTTGGACCTCCTCAATCAAAACCTTACAATGTCGCAGATGTTAAATTGGAAAATTTAAATTAATTATAAAATTTTTCTTTATTAAGGCAAAAAGAACCTGAAATTAAACCTGATCCTCCTTTTGTTAATGTCACGACAGAAGTTAATGGTTTTATTAATGATTTGATTGAATTTTTCATTCGTATATGCAAAAACCAGCCCCGAGTGGTTCAACCAATTATGATCAAAAAATATATCAGAGAACGCAAAAAGAATCCCATTGAAATTCAATTTGAAATGATTCGCAATCCATCTTATTATTGGTTTACTAGCTTAAAAGGATTTTTTTACCAGCATGAAATTGGGACCGTTGCTGATGATCAAATGGCATTTAAATTCTTTAATTTAGCTGTAAATGAAATAATTGATGTCCCCTCTCCTAATTCTTCCTTAATTAAACAATACAATATCAACAAAGAAATTAGTGCCATCTCTCTTGCAGCTATGTACCTCGATGGTCTAGGTATTGAAAACGATGCAAAAAAAGCTTTTCAGATTTATTATAAACTTGCTGATAAAGGTTCTCTTATAGCTTTGAATTGGGTAGCATATTGTTATCATAAGGGGCTTGGTGTCGAAAAAAATGAAGAGAAAGAATTTGATTCATATTTGAAATCTGCGGAAAAAGGAAATCTTGTTGCACAATTTCAAGTTGGTTGGTGTTATAAAGATGGAACTGGAATAACAAAAGATGAAGTTAAAGGGTTTCGATGGTATATAAAATCTGCTCGTGCTGGAAATATTAAAGCAATGCACGGTGTTGGTTTTTGATATGATAATGGCATAGGCGTGGGTAAAGATAAAAAGGAAGCATTTAAATGGTATCTGAAGGGTGCTGAAAAAGAATATTATGCATCACAATATAATATAGGAAATTGTTATAAATATGGTTACGGAATTAATATTGATCAAGTAAAAGCATTTAAATGGTGTAAAAATGCTGCAGAAAATAAATATGCTATTGGTCAATACAAGCTTGGGAAATGCTTTTATGAAGGTTATGGAACCAAAAAAAGACACTGTAAAAGCCATATACTGGTTGAATAGAGCAATGGAAAATGGGGATACAGATGCCAATGAATTATTAGAAAAATTTATCAGTAATATAGTGTAACATATAAAAAGAATCAACTTATTTTTTTTATTGTAAAAATAATTATGTCTAAATATTTTAAATAATTTGAAAAATTAGTATAAATTAAATAATGTTAAACTTTCAGGGAGAAAATTGATATTGTACTCTATTTTCTGGTTTAATAATATGCAACATTTCGCAACTGATTCCTCTTTTTCTTTTTTTTTGTATTTTTTCTATCCATTTATTGTTTTATGACTATGTAAATGTTATATAATGGCATCCAAAACTGGTATTTCAACAGATAATCTCCAATCCATACCACAAAAAGCTATGAAATTTGAGACAAAGTAAAATAAAACATTGGACTGGCCAATAAATTTCCCAATGTAGAAAACATCTGGGAAATTGTTATTCAGAAATAAAAACTTTTAATGAGCTCAAGACTGCTTTGAGTGAAGAATGATCAAATTATAGTGTATTAATTCTTAGGCTGGACCCAATGCACAACGAATTGGAACAGCAATGGAGAGCCAACAAAGTGTTAGTTAGTTATAAAAAAACTTTATGAGCATTAAATAGAAATGTAATAAATCATGTAAATTTTTATTCTAATAAAAATCAGGTGTTACTTTTGTACTATACATGTTGTCTAAATTCAAAATCCATTGAATCAATTCTAATTTTATTGATTTTTAATTGTGTCTGACTCAATAATTGCATTATTTGCTATGTAAAAATGAAAATTTCACTTAACTCAATCCTAATTTTTTCAATTTTTAATTGCACCTCACTCAATTCAATAATTTTACAATATGTATAGACTGTACATACATTTTCTGAACTTAAAATCTAGCTATCACATTTCATTTATTGGCTCTTATTAATAGATTGCAATCTAAGTAATATAAATAGTCCTTTCTTAATAAAATAGGTTCCTTTTTTCGAAAATGCAACATTAAATTTATAGAAAATTGCAAAGAAAGAATAAATAAATTTTTACAATGTGAATTTAAATTATAAAAGTTTTACTTTAATAGATTAATTAATTACATTAATTGTTGCGCTAGATATTAAATAATAAGAGAAATATTTTCAAAAAAAAACTAATGAAGATTATAAATAAGCAATTTATAGTAATTTGAATGATTAATAATGTACCAAGAAAAGATAAACGAAAAGAAACGGGGAGATCTGAATGGATAACTTAACTATTGAAGATACTATTCAAAAAGAAAATAGCTTTAAAGCTACTTTAAGGGTGACAATTTTTTAAGAAATTTTAAAGACGTTTATTTAAATGATAATGACAAATTTGTATTGGATAGTTTATAAATGAAGTATCTTAAATTTAATTATTTATTTATTTGAATTTACCGTCCATTATTTTTTATTTTTGAGTTTGAATTGAAATAATTATTATATTCCATGGCATCACTAAACATATTTAAATATTTATGCTTAATATTTAGATATGAAATATTCTTTAAAATAAATTTCAATTTCATGAATAAATTAATTTTATTTTTTTTTAAAGAAAAATATTCTTGTTCATAATGGGCTCATTAAATTTGACGCCTTTGGAATAACGAAATTTATTGGAAAATGCTTTCATGAAAATATGCAACCATGAAAATATAATAAACGTTAAATAAAACAAAGGAAAATAAGATTGTATATGGGAATATGAAATTTATTTTTTAAATATTAGATTCAAATCATAGTTTTAATTAAATTAATTAAATAAGTAAATAATACACGTAATTAGTCTTTTTTAAAAAAATATGATTAATATAAAATAACTAGCCTGGATTGTTTTTTTATTAACACCAGCACCAATATATAATATGCGAATATTTATAATTTAAGGAATATGAATAGTCTTTTCTTCTTGAAAATGACAGCATTGAATTATAGTTTTGCATATTTAAATCGTAACAAAAGAATTAAATAAATAAATAAAAGAAAATTTTATAATTTTGTGCATTTTCAAAGTTACACGATTAAAGTAAAAATAAGCCACACAATTTAAAGCGATTGTCGAATTTGTTTATCAATTTTTAGCCCAGTACTAATTCAAAATCTTTAGCTACATAATGATAATAATTTGAGAACACTTTGTACATATTAAAAATAATATGTTTTGGGATTACATGAAAATAAATTTTAAACATTAATGGAGTAATTTTAGATGGATTTTACAGTTTCAAAACTGTAAATCTAGAATAAGAATATTAATTAATTTTTATTAAGAATATATTAATACATGATCTAATGTATATTTATTAAATTTAGAGACTTTTAGCTATACTTTTAGAAGTTATGATAAATATTTAAAAAAGTTTAAGAATTGATAAACTTTATCTATAGAAAACGTAGAATCCTTCATCCATTATAGGTGAAAATTATAAAACAGAGTCTAAATATGAACGCTTGCTTGGCGTAAAAATTTTTGTGATCTGCAATTAAATTTCTATAAGTTATACAGGAAATTTTATTCGGCACTGTACATGTATAAATTTGCGCCCATTGTAATTTATTATAATTAATCATGTATCAAAAAAAGCCAAACGAAAAAGAATGGAAAACTTGGATGGACAATTTGAATATTGAAGATGCCTTACAAAAAGAAAATATTCCATTTTATCAATATTCCGAATTTGAGAATGTAAGATTGATTAGTAGGAATATTTGTGAAGCCATTTTTAAAACTTCTCAAAAAACTGTCGCTCTTAAATGTGTTTCTATAAATGATGAAATTACGTTGGATAATTTAATAAACGAAGTGAGTTATTAAATAATTTATTTTACTATTTGTATTTGCTGTTAATATTCAAATTTTGCTATTTTAAATTGAAAAGATTAAAAAACATCGAAAATTGGAAATTCATGATAGAATTCTCAAGTTATATGGCATTACTAAGCAAGGTAAATATATAAAATATTTAATTTTCTATATCTAATAAGAGTAAACAATTAATTATATTTTTATAGAGAATAAGAACAATTATATGATTGTCTTCGATTATGCGAATAATGGTTCTCTTCGTCAATATTTGAAATCAAACTTTCAAAAATTGGATTGGAATGCAAAATTAAATCTTGCGAAACAAATTGCAAATATTTTGATGTATTTACATTCCAATGATATCATTTATGGAAGATTGGTAACTATTTTCTCAAAAGAAATTTTACAAATGAATTATTTTAATTTTAATTATTTTTTTATTATTATTTATTAGAACTCTGAAAATATTCTTATTCATAATGAGAACATCAAATTAAATGTTTTTGGAATAACAAAAATTATTTCCGATTCTTTAAGTTTCCTTAAAAATACTCTTGTTCCAATACAATACATGGATCCTCAATATTTGGAAATCTTCAGTGTAATCGGCAAAAATAAGAGTTCTGATATTTTTGGTCTAGGAATTATTCTTTGGGAGATTTCTAGTGGTAATCCTCCTTTTGAAATGAAATCCTCATCAAATGTTGATTTATTAAATAGTATTGCAAAAGGAAAAAGGGAAATGGTTATACCTGGAACACCTCATAAATACAAGGAATTATACACTGGTATTTAAATAATCTAATAAAATCATTCATTTATATTGTTTACATGATAAATTATTAATGTAGTGTTATATTTTTGACAGATTGCTGGAAGCACAGTGGAAACTCCCGACCAGATATTCTTCAAATTGTTAAAAATCTTTCTGAAATAATTATCTCTAATGCAAGCGTTGGATCCGATCCTTCTCGATTACAATCGTATAAAGTTAAATTGGAAATTTTAAAAATGTGAGGTTGCATTTTTTTTTAATGTTTTTATACTGTATATCTTTGAATCTTCAAAACATTTATTATCCATAAAATTCTTCTTTATTAAGGCAAAATAAACCTGAAATTAAACTTGATCTTCTGTCAGTTGATGACACAACTAAAGTTAATGTGTTTATTAAGGATTTATTTAAATTTTTCATTGATTTGTTCAATAGACAGTTTCGAGAGAATCGACCAATTATGATCGAAAAGTATATCAGAGATCACAAAAAGAATCCAGTTGAAATTCTATTTGAAATGATTCGTCATCCATCTCATTATTGGTTTACTAGTTTAATAGGCTTTTTTTACCAGTATGGAATCGGAACTGTTGCTGATAATCAAATGGCTTTTAAATTCTTTGATTTAGCTGCCAATGAAATAATAGATACGAAGAACACCTTCCCAAATCTTTTAATAAGAAAATTTCATAACATTAACATAGAAATGGGTAATATCTATCTTTCATATATGTACGGAGCTGGTTTAGGTATTGAAAAAGATTTAAAAAAAGGATTTCAGATCTATTCTAAAGTTGCAGCTGAAGGGTCCCACGTAGCTTTAAATTGTATGGCATATTGTTATCAGAATGGGCTTGGTGTGGAAAAACATGAAAAAAAAACATTTGAACTATATTTAAAATCTGCAGAAAATGGAAATCTTATAGCACAATCTAAGGTTGGTTGGTGTTATGAAAAAGGAATAGGAATAACAATAGATGAAACTAAAGGATTTCAATGGATTTTAAGATCTGCTCAAGCTGGAAATATTAGTACAATGTGCAATGTCGGGTATAGTTATGAATATGGTTTAGGCGTAGGAAAAAATGAAAAAGAAGCATTTAAATGGTATCTGAAGGCTGCCGAAAAAGAAGATCATACGTCACAATTTAATTTAGGAAATTGCTATAGAAAAGGTTACGGAACTAATATTGATCAAGTGAAAGCATTTGAATGGTATGAAAAAGCTGCAAAAAATGATCACGTCGATGGCCAATACATGCTTGGGTTATGCTTTTATGAAGGTTATGGAACTAAAAAAGATATTGTAAGAGCTATATACTGGTTGAATAGAGCAAGAGAAAACGGGGATACATATGCAAATGAATCATTAGAAGAAATAACTAGCAATATAATCTGACAGTTAAAAAAATAAAATATCAATCAAATTTTTATTATTGTAAAAATAATTTATTAAATTTTGACTAAATATTTAAAAAATAAAGAAAATGCATATTTCTAATGAGATAATGATATATTTTAAATAAGTAAATAGTGTCAACGGAATTGAACAAATTATTACAAATTAATTATATTAAGCCTTTGAATAGAAAAATGACATTGATATTTCTGATCGTATTTCATTTGTTAGCACTAATAAATAATTTGCGAATATATATAATTTAAGCAATATAAAAGTATTTTTTAATAAAATGGTTCATTTTATTGAATTCGATCATAAATTTATAGATTTTTTTTAAAGAAAGTAGCTACAGAGAAAGAATAAACAAAGCATTACAAAGTAAACTTTAA